GCTACAGGATCACGGGTCATTTAAGGGAACTCTGTCTCTGTGACACCTCTTCTGATGCTCTCAATGTATCCCACCATACCTGTGAGCTAAACTGCCACTCCTCTTGAACCTATCTCCACATACTTACTTACTAGCCTCCCTTTTTTGAAAATAATAGGAAAGTGGAAGAGAAAGCAAGGAATTTCCCTGGGAGAACACAAGGAGCTTTCATCAAAGCCAGCCCCACAGCAGCTCTCCCAACCTCTGCAGCAGCTTCCCAGCCTCTGGTGCTAGGCCCGAGTGACCCGGAGCGCTGTGCCCGCCGTGCCGGCCGTGCTGGGCAGGCCGAGCCTCCGTGCGCGGCTGGGGCCGCTCTGCGCTCCGCCGTGGGCGTGCAGAGCCCCGCACCCCGCCCGCTCCCCGCTCCTTCCCGGCTCCTCCCGGGCGCGCCGCTGCGCTGCGGGGCTGCAGCAACGCTGGGCAACCCCACCGCCACCCACACACCGCATCTGGGCCGGAAGAACGGGAGGAAAAGAGAAGGAGCCGTTTGTTTTTAAGCTACTCTCGCACGCCCTGCCACGCACAGCAAGGGAACGGAGAGTTAATCGCAAAGCGCGTCTGAGGCCATTACAACGTTGCGAGGCTACAAGTTTGCAGGAGGCGAGGGGGCTCGGCTCGGGAGGAGCCGCCTGTTCCACCTGCCCTCCCTCCCTGTCCCCCACCCGTGTCCCTCACAGGGGCTGGCACGGCAGCCGCGGGCGCTGCTCCGCACCCAGCGGCGGCTTTGCAGGCCGGGCGCGGGGAGCCGCGGGGGCGAGGGGCTGGGCGGCGGCCGCCGACTCACCCGCGCCGTGACCTTGTAGACGGTGTGGCCGCGGGGGTGGCGGCGCGGCTCCGTCACGGTGTAGAAGCGGGCCAGGTCGGCGCCGCGCTCCCGCGGGCTCAGCATCCTGCTGCTGCCCCCGCCGCGCCGCCCGCCCGGCCGGCACAGGCGGAAGCGGCGCCCGGGAACGCCCCGCCCCGCCCGGGCGGCGCCGGGGGCCCGGCCCGGGGAGCCCCGCCCGGCTCCGCGGGATGCTCGGATCCCCCGCCCGCGGTGCGTTCCCGGGGCTGGGAGCCCGCGCCGCAGGGATGAGGCCGAGGTGGCGCGGCCCAGAAGTGGCAGGCACGGCCCGGCGGCGGCGCGGCCCCGTTCCAGGGGCTCGGCAGGGCACGGCCGTGAGGATTTACACTCGGCGGGACTGACTGCCGAGCCCCTCGCTCACACAGGCGGCCGTGGCCTCTACAAATCCGTAACGAGCCCCCGGTACGCCGCTCCCAGCGTCTGCCGTGGGCTATTTTAGGCTATGCTGCCCTAAATCCATAGGCCTGTAACGCAGAAATGACTCACGGATTTTAAAGAGGAATGCTACCACAAAGGCAAGTTTGATGGTTACCGAGTCACCATGCTTTGTGGGTTGTGTCTGCCCCAGGTTCTATAAGCTGTACCTGGGCTTCTCCCTGCGGAGCAGCTCTCTGCGTGCACAGGTCTGCAGGGCACTTTGGTGTTAGGAAACCCGCCAGGGTTTGAGGGGTATTCCTTCAGTTCTGAGGAGCATAACTCTGTGCCACAGGTCCTCGTCTTTTTGTAACATTACCTACAATTTCTTGCCTGTAGTGGGGTCTGTACCAATGTAGATCTCACACCTCAGACCACAGAAACTTGATTTTTTTAAATCACTGGGTGTTCATTCATTTAATTGTAGATGTTAAAAAACCAGCTTTTCTTTACCAGGTTATTAATAGCTCTGCTCTCATACAGGTTTTTGACATAAAGTGTTTAACAATACTCAACGTGTGTCTTTGAGAAAGATAAAGGTCTCTTGTACTGAAGTTCATAGTAAGCACGTGCCTCTCCTTTGAGGAACATTTTCTTAAGGAAGAGGGAAGAAAGAAACATTGGTTGTTAGCAGCTCACTTGTCACTATCCCTTACCTTCTGAAAGGGGAAGAGCATATCTTTTACATTTTGTGCTGGTACACAGAACTGCATGGAAGTTCCATACGTTACCAAAAGTTCGCAAATTCAAGTACTTGGGGGAGAAAGTCAGTGAGTAACTAAAGAGACAAACACATCAGGCTTAGGAAATGCATGGAGCTGAAAACAGCAAGAGGCAGGGAGAGTGCTCATTTGAAGTGTGCCCAGCCCCTGCACATTTCTAGGCATCTGCTGCTAATAACGTTTAGAAAGCAGGAAACTGAGCTCAGTGGACCACTGATCTGAGCCATCGTGGCTGTTCTTATATGCAGTGTAATCAATCAAAGCATCCCTCAGTGAGTCAGTAGCCTCCATTCACTAGGGAATTTCAAAAGCTCAAATGACTCATAAAATAATTTGGCTTCTACTTACAAATCAGAATTTGGAGATATCTAATTCTGCAGAATATCTTTTCACATGGTATAGCCAACACAAAATAGTAATTAGACGGGAATAAAAACCCCACAATTAAGTGTTACTGGCTTATTAAGACTTTTCTAGGTCAAGGCAAGAAAATCTAGCAACACTGAGATGAGAAACAATCTGCATCATATTAATAGGTTAATCTTTTTCTTCTCCTTTGTCTATTACACAACTTCCATACTTTTCAGCACATCTTCATTTTCATTAAAACCCAAAGCTTCCATCATCAGCATCATTACTGAGACTACTACTATGTAAAAACCTTTGAAGTGACAGATCAATTTGGATGTCCCTGTGCAGGTCACATATAGAAAATACAGAAAATACAGAAAATAACTGCATGTTATGTGTAGATTCTGTTTCTAGAAATAACAGCAGTCATTGTTGCTATGGCTATGGCTTACTGTCTTCTCTCCTAAAAATACATCTAAAAGATAAGAATACAAAAATTCAGAAAAGAACAAACCACCAAAACAATATGGTCTTGAAAATGCAGCTGGGAGATCCTTTACTACACATGTGTTAGCAGTTTCATTCTCACATGGTAAAGAAACTAACAGAAAATGGATGGGTATTCTTACCTTTTACCAGTAAGTTGTGTCCAAGAAATGGAAAACCCAAAGTGGATCTGACACGTTGCCTAACTAGCATGCTCATCACTGCATTATTTCAATTCCAGTCTTCCCTACCACTCCTGGGAAAACTTCAATGTTTTTTAAAGTCACTTTTATGACAGATATAAAAGGAATGCAGTGAAACAGTATTTTACTTGATTGCAGTTCCTGCACAGCATCTGCACTATTCAGCACTATAATTTTTCATATGCACTGTGCTACGTTTCCTTACAGTAAACAGGGCCAGCATTTTCCCTGTCCTCAGAAGACCTCAAGAAAGCGTTCTGAGTGCTTATTCAAGCAGCATCGGCAGAGGCAGAGGATTGTTGCTGCAGCTGGTAAGCAGCGGTGGGTCTGACAGCGGGGCTGCAGGGCAGGCAGGGCTCCCACCCTTCTCTCAGGCCAGCTCTCCTCAGCAGAGCCCCTTCAGCTGCATTTTAAAACCTGACAATGTTGAAATACTCACTCGGGTGATCCGGCTTTGGTGTTTTTCTGCAAACTCTAAGCATGGTGCTGCTGCCCTTGAAATATACTATGGCACCCTGAAATATACGGCAGCTCTTTCCCGGCCCCTTTGACCCTGCAGGTACACACAGTGATCCTAAGGGAGAAGACCACTTACGGAAATTATCACAGAATACGCTGAGTTGGAAGGGATCCACAAGGATCATCAAAGTGCAACCCCTGGCCCTGCACAGGACATCCTCGAGGACCACACCACATGCCTGATGAGAGCGTTGTCCAAAGGCCTCTTGAATTCTGCCAGACCTGGTGCCGTGACCACTTTCCTGGGGAGCCCTTTCCAGTGCCCGACCACCCTCTGGCTGAAGAAACTACTGCACTGTGAAAAGTGCAATTATATTGCTCTACACAGATATTTACTATATGTATTTTGCTGTATTGATTAGTAGTGCTGTATTAACATTTTAATAATATGATAAATGTAGTCTTGTAGTTAAAAGGTAACTTTTGTAGTTAAAATAAGAACTATGAGAGGTTTTCTTAAAGAAAGGAATGAAGCACTCGCACCAGATAGCAGCCACAAGAAACCTAAATCTTTCAGAGAAAAAGGAATTTATTGTTCTCTTATCAGAAGAAACTGAATTCTTCCTGCCTAGCTAAAGATCGAAGGTGCCTTAGGATTACGAAGAAGTTGACACTGACCAGACAGAATCCTTTGTTTGAATAGAATTTATGCATCATGTCAGAAGTGCATGAATATGCAACAGACTATTGTTTTTAAGGATTGATCCTCTGTTATCGTGTGTCCTTTTTCGGGCTGCGCTGCCCAGAAAAAGGTACCCGAACATCCGTAACTCTTTGTCTCTATTGTCCCATATTGTCCTAATTCAAATTGTCCAAATTATTATTACTATTACTATATGCAGTACTATAGTATACTATTGTATTACTATTTTTATAACCATTTTATTGCTATTAAGCTTTTTAAAAAATTTTAAAACAAGTAATTGGCGTTTTTCACATGCACGAACCCCGTGTTACCCCCATCTAAACGCTTCCAAAGCCCCAGCCGCGCTGCCTACACACGGGTTCAGCTGCGCTCCGGAGCGGGGGCGGCCCCCGGCGGGGCGGGCAGCGCGGGCTGGGGGCGGGCGTCCCCTGCCCGGGGCCGGCATGGCGGCGGGGCCTGGCGTCGCTGCCCGGGCTAAAGATGGCCGCGGGCCCAGCCCCTGGACTACAAGTCCCAGGAGCGAGCGGGAGGGCGCGGGGCGGCCGCAGCCCGTGCGGAGGATGCGGCGGGGCGGCCGGAGCGCGGCGGCGGCCGGAGCTGGCGCTGCCCTGGGTTGACCCCTTCGGGGGGCGCCGGGGCTGCGCGGGGCCGGCAGCGGGGCCCGGGCCCGCCGGGAGGTAACGGGGGCTGGAGGCGCTGGCGGTCAATGCCCGCCATTAGGCCGAGCAGGGCCGCGGTAAAAACAGCGCGGCGTGGGGCGTGCTGCTGCCGGGGTGGGGGCGCCGGGGTTGGGAGGGAGCAGTTTCTCAGTGCTTTCCTGTAAAACATGTGGTTCAGGTTTTTTTTGTAAAGGAGTGATGCCTCTGTTTGCTCCACAGTAATGCTGTGGTGTCCGGGGGGGTGTTTTGTTTTTGTCTCTGTCGTACTACATCTGGTGCGCTATGGCGGAAAAGGTTATTTGAGGACAAGCGGGGTTTGCTGAGAGTTGTGTTAGCGATTAGAGGGTGTCCAAAGGAGGGCTACGAAGATGGTGAAAAGCCTTGAGGGGAATCTGTGTGAGGAGCGGTCGAGGTTATTTTCAGCCTGGAGGAGACTGAGGGAGACCTCGTGGCAGTCTGCAACTCCCTTAGGAAGGGAAGAGGAGGGGCAGGCTCAGGTCTGTGCTCTGTGGTGCCAGTGACAGGACCAAGGGAATGGCCTGAAGCTGTGTCAGGGCAGGGTTAGGCTGGGCATTAGAGAAGGATTCCTCACCCAGAGGGTGGCTGGGCGCTGGAGCAGCTTCCCCAGGGAACAGCACCAGGCAGCCTGGCAGAGTTCAGGGAGCCTTTGGACAAAGCTCTCAGGCACATGATGTGGCTCTCAGGGTGTCCTGTGCAGGGCCAGGGCTTGGACTCAACGATCCTTGTGGGTCTCTTCCAACTCAGCATGTTCTGTGATTCAGTGATTCTGTATTTCGGCTTATTTCCTGGGCTGAATGGCAGCTGGGAGGTTCTCACTTCTGCGCAACTTCGACATACCAAGCTTTGATATCTTTTGCTTATAGGCTCAAAATACACCTTATTTAAGCAGTGAGGAATCTGAGACATCATTGTTACTCAGCCTACCTTCCTGTGATTTTGTTGAGAGACAGATTTCTTCTAAAGAAAAAAAAAGAGAAAAAAACCCCACCTTTTTCATGGCTTTAGTTGCTAAGCTGAGATTTCCTCTCCTGGAAAAGAAGTAAGAATACAAATTTAGTCTTAAGCTTAGGGATGCCTTGAGACTTAGTACATTTATTTCCCTGTTGTGTTGGCATTGGGATTTGAGCCAAATCAATGGCTTTCCAAACAAAGTCCTGACAGCTTGCAGGAAAGTGCTCTCCTCATTCCTTACAAATAGCCTTATAATAAAGATAATGCAGCATGCAAAAATGACCTTTTGTAAAGGTCATTCCTCTGAGCGCTTGAAAGATCTGACACTTGAATTCAACAAGGCAGAAAAGAAATTTTAAATTGTTACTGAGAGAGATAGGGTTTGGACACTAAATGGCACTTGTAAATCTGAGGGGGGAAAAGGATGCAAGATCACTTTGTAAAGTCCCATTTTGCATATCATGTAGACAAATGTGTTTAAACTAAAAATGTGTTTGTATATATATAAGTGTTTGATTATCTTGTATGCATTAACTTGTGGAAGAGAGAGTATCTTCTGTAAGTGCTGACCAGGATGACTTTGCCTCCACAGCTCTCTACAGGCAGATGTAGCTGTGTGCTAGCAATGACACTTGTGCTTTTTTGGTAGACACTCCATGCTGCCCCGCCATGTGCAGAGGCTGGGCAGAGACTGGATCACCCACTGGAATGGCTCCCAGATCCTGGCCTTGAACAGCCCAGTCTCCAGCTGGATGAGATGGGCCGGACACTATCCTCCCTGGGCCTCCTTTCCACTCCCCGTTTCAGCTGATTTTTCAGCAAACTGGAGATTCCCTCCATTTTTTGGGCCTTGGAGACAATTTCAGAACTCTCATTGGCATCTTGATAACTACACACAAAGTTGTTGCTTTCACCTCGCCAACCCCAGTATGAAATCTGAGGGAGAAGAACCATTGACAAAGAAGAGAAAACTCAGTGGCCAGGATGATACTGCAGCTCCTGAACAACAAACAGACTTGTCTAATCAGAAGGAAGTATGTTGTCTTTCTGTAGCACAGAATGAAGAAAAACATGGCAGCAAGAAAGGTAAAAGATGCTCTTTGCTCATTTGCTGTGTTTATTTGTAATGTTGAATATACCAAATAAGGTTAGAGACATGAGCAGTGGTGCCTGCTCCTTTTGAGTTACTGTTTTTCTTGGCACCCCTCTCAGGAAAATATGTCTTTAAAATGCCAGTTTTGTAATGCTGTTTAGTCTGCAGACTTGTATTTTGTGCTGTCAAACAGTACCAGAACTAGGTTTGCTGCAGTTGGCAGTGGAACACAGTCAGTTGTGTGAGGGATTGCCCAATCTGGGGAGTCCTGAGCTTGCTTCAGACTACCCTCTCATGTCTGTCACCAGGTCATGTCTGGTAACTTGGAAGCTCTGGAAAGCAAAAAGGTTTGGCTGACTTGCTGTAGGGCTGAGCTGGACTGGCAGTTGTGTAGCTTCATTCCTTGTGCTCTACCTGAGCTTATGGACCTGAACTGGTTTCCAGACCAGTTGTGTTATCTGTGACATAGAAAACTGAGAATGAATGCACTGAGCTTTAATGGTGCATGCTTCCAGTGGGCTGGTGTGATTTTGTTCTTACAGCTGTATTCTGCCACTGGCATGGTAGCAAGTTTTGTGTCAGATCACGTCTGACAGAGCAGGCAGCACGTGTGCTTATCCAGATAAATACAGGAGGAAGTGCAGAGTTATCTACTGGGCTTAGTAACAAACTTCCATGAAACTTCAAAGTGCCTGTGTTAGCTTGTTACAGATACAATCTCCTACATAGCATCCAAATATTTTACTGAGTCTTGTGTATATTTACAGTTTTGTCTTGTGTGAGACAAACAGGGGGACACAGTCAAAATTGTTGCCCTCTTGCATAAATCACTTCCTTAGCAAAATAAACTGGAAATTGTATTATGACTAAAAAGAGCAACAGATGCTATCAGCATCCCAAAGGGATTTTTGGACACAAATACCCATAAGGCTTAGAACATCATATCCATCTTCAAGAGCCAAAGGAGGGGACTTTGTGCATTAATTACAGAGTCTTCTGTTAACCCTGCTTGTCTTTTATCAGATAGCTTTATCTGAGGGTGAGGTTGGCACTGTGGTCCTTCCCAGTCACCCTTTGGAAGGTGATTCTAATTGAAGATACCTGCTGAGGAGCAATGTGACTTCTCTCCCACCACAGAAGCAGAACTTAAAGCTTTGCTGTATTCATTGCTAACACTGTAAAGTCCTGAATAATCTAAGCACAGCAATGAAAATTACTCCCCAGACAGGACAGATGGTGACAGCTATAGCTGCAGTCTGCCACTGGTTGTTAGCACAGATAACTGGACCTCGGCTTGCTCTCAGATGAGGTCAGATATAAAGGGTGAAAAGCATCTCTGGGAGCTTTTAAGTGGAGAAATACATTTCTTAAAAAGTAATTGGATGCCTAATGATGGGCAGATATGTTATTATGAATTTTCCTACTAATAGTAAGTATGAAATTAAAAATGGCAGAAAGGTGAAGGATGCCTTTTCAGAAGTTCTTGGTAATTCTGAAACTTAATAATTTCTTGATTTCTCAACTCAGTGAGGAAAATTGGGTTCATTATTTGCTTTGGAACTCCTGTAGGAGGCCCTGTTGCAGGTTATGGCTGAGTTTTACAGACTGTACACATGGTAGAGGTGATTGCTGGATTCCTAACCCTTTGTTAGTCATGCATAGAGAGATCAACACGGTGTCCATATGCTGCCCTGAGGAGTGTATCCAGACTGGCATACAGCATCTCTGCTGGAGAGGCAGTGGCACAAGGCAGTGTGACTCCCAGCAGACTGGATTTGGCTCACCAGTTATGCAGCCTTTCCACAGGAGCAGGGGGTGCAGTCTGATTGCAACAATTTCCTTAGAACAGGCCAGTTTCCCAATTTCAAAGCAGATTAAATTCAGGGCATATAATGGTTTTGTGCTGTTTGGTTTGGTTTGTTTGATTTTTATTTTTTTTTACTGATGCTTATCTATCTCAAACAGAGGGTCTGAATCACTGCTAATTGAATAAGCTTTTAGAATTATTTAAGAGATTTGAAAGACAAATAGTTGTCAGTAGAATGATTTCCAAGAGCAGTACAATGCTATATGGTCTATAACATAACTTTTTTCTTCTTCATATGTTCTTAACAGGAACCATCAAAAGACACTGGGAATATTATTGTCAGCAGAGTAAAACAATGAAAATAGCTAAAAATAAAGGATCTGACCAAAGCAGCACAGGAAGTGAGGCAACATTTGATTTTACAGTCATGTCCTACAACATTCTCTCACAGACTTTGTTGGAAGGCAACTCTCACCTGTACAGGCACTGCAGGCAGCGATTGCTATTCTGGACATACAGATTTCCCAACATCCTACAAGAAATCAAAGAGCTGGATGCAGATGTGAGTAGAAAATGAGCATGTGGATATTTCTTAAGAACCGATAAACTGAAATAACAAATTCTGCTACTTTCTGCTGGAGTCTGAAAAAACACCTCTGTGGTTTTGGTTGGTTGTAGAGTTTATTGTTTGTTTTTGAGGACACATAAATTATTGTAAGTCTTAATTAGGAAGTCAAGTCAGTAAAATGTTGCTTCAGTCATTGTTTAGAGCAACAGAAGTTCAGTGATAGAATCCATCCTGTTTGTGTCAAAAAACAGTACTGAAAAAAATAGTTGTATTAGGGAAGCCACAGAAAAACAGCCTTGTGCCATTTGGAAAATGCAGTTATGTTAGTAGTAGCCAGGAATCTGGAAATTAGAGTCCCTTCAAACTCTTCCTTTCTTCCTGATAAATTTAGACTTCCTGTATGCATATATCTTTACAATGAGATACCTTGGGTAGCTTTCTGAGAGGAGCAGCTGCTCTCACACCCTGGTAGATGCAGGCGTCCTTTCCACAGAGAAATTTCTTGCTAAAGGACATAGATTTTTAATTGTTTCATTGGTTGGAACTGTAACCTTAAGTGAAGCAGAGATGTCAGAATGTTGCTTGAGATTTGACTCTCCCTTGAGAGCTTGACTGAGCTGATGACAGCTGGGCAGGTGGGATGTGTTGCTGCAGCTCAGCAAGCAGGGGTAGCTTGTTCCCCTTTGGGAGCTCAGTCCTTTATCCCAGTGGTGGCTGTAGATCTGTGTTCCTGCAGCGTGCTGGGGGAAGGCTCACAGAAGCTCACAGCTGGAGTTGGACTCCGTGATCCTCGTGGGTCCGTTCCAACTCAAAATACTCTGTGATTCTGTGAGCTCTCTTAAATGAATATTTTGAGTTTCAGCTTTGGTTCAGGTTCTTATAATATGGAAGCCTGTTTTCCACCCTGTAGTGTGCCATTTGCCTCCTCATCCCTTCTCCCTGAGCCTGCCCCTGAGCTGCTGAGAATGTTGGAACATGTTACTATTGTGATTAAATTGAATCTCACCTCTGAAAATGTCTGCCTGAAAAAGGAGGAACTAGGGCCTTCTTCATAATCTTAGGGAGTATTTTCTATAGAAGAGTGAATTCTTTTGTGGGATTATGGAGTTGGCCTCTACAGAATGGCCAACAGAGATATGCTGTAGTAACATTTTGATGTACATACTAATATATTTTAATTGTAAACCTTTGCCTTAGGTGCTCTGCTTACAGGAAGTCCAAGAAGACCACTACAGAACAGAGATTAAGTCAAGTCTGGAATCCCTGGGTATGATGAAACTCCTAGGACCAATACACTGTCCTCTCCCCTGCAGGGATAACTTGTTACTCTTTGAGAACTCAGTACCAGTTTCCTCAAAAAAAAGCCTCTTATAGATTATAGAATCAAAGTCTTTTGCTGTCATATGCAACAATGTTGTGTATCCTCTTTTTTAAATTCATCAAGTGCTCTCTTGAAACCACCTTAATCCTTTTTACCAGTGTTCTTGTTGGGCAGCTCGTCAAGGGCATGTTTTTTCTGCCTTGAAACCTTCCAGATATTAGCAATAAATGTTACTCATGGTCAGTATATATTCATGAGATTTTTATACAAGTGCTGTCAGTCAGTCTGAATAGACTGTTCTGGCACTATCCCTCCTGTGATTTTATGGAAGGAATGTGATGCTAAGGGTGGATTCCATGGTGGTTTAAACGGATCTGAATCTTTTATGCCCTGCACCACCTTCCAGTCCCAGGTCCCCACTTCCATCCTGGCACTGTTCTTGTCTGATGCCAGGAGGACATGGTAAAGGAGCAGCCCTGGACTGATACTTTTTTCTTTTTTGGTTGGTTGAGGTAGTCTAGCTCCCAGAGTGTTTGCAAAGAAGAGGGTAATGGCAGTGATTGAAATCCACTTGAAATGTGAAACAACATTATGAGGCCAGGCTTGTGGGGGCAAGAGAGCTTGTAACTACTGTACAGGAAGATCTGGAGCTTGCTTTAGCTCTTCCTTTCCCCATCCCTAGCTCCCAGATGCATGTCCTGCCCCTTATCCTGGGATAGTTCTGGCACTCACTGGTGAAATTCATCAGTCCAGCAGAATACTCTCCAGACTAATTTTATTTTTCTGGGTTAGTTTTCTGTTAGTTTACTGAGTTAGCACTAAGTGCCACAACAAGTGGCAGGAGCAGCACGGCCTGAATCTGGGAGATGAGAATGGGAATCCCCCAGGGCTCCAGCACTGGTGTGAGCTCAGGTCAGCTCACCCTACTTCACTAAGGCTCTATTTCATGAATTCATATGGTCTGGGCAGGACAGAGAACATTTAAAAATGGCATAAAATAGATACTGTTTCAAGATCTATTTTTTCCCTTAAATAGAGAAGATCTTGTTTAAATCACCTCTGCATAAAATGAAGAAATTGGCAAATCACTATTTCTAGATGGACTTCTTTGAACTCCAGGGCTGTCATTTGATTAGTGTCTGTTTCCTTGGTGAAAGCTTGCCACTTGCTGCTCACTGGATAATTCATAATTATGTAAATACATTTGAGACCTTTGTTCCATGAATAATTTTAGACATTGACTATTGACTTAGCATGATTAAGGCTTTTGATTGGTAATGCTTCACTGGTATTACTCCTAAGCCATTCTTGTAGCATCCAGAAAAAACTTCAATGCACAAGGCCACTTTTATGTGCCTTGTGGGCGTTCCTTTGTTGTTTTGGTTTGGGTTTTTTTCCAGATGAGGAGATAAGAATATGACTGGTATCTTAGAGTATGTAGATGTTTGCACGTTGCATAAGGTATTGGACCACATTTCCTGTCCTGCCTTGCCTCAGCTCAGATTAGAGCAGAAAGAAAAGAGCACAAGTCTATGTGAGCTTCACAGAGGCTTTGGTACTTCAGACTGGGGGTCGACTGTGATGTGAGAAAGCAGCATGAGATCTTCCTGATTTTTTTTTTGTTTGTTTGTTTTAAAATCTCTTATTTATACAATAGTATTTTATTTCTTGCAGGGTATCACTGTGAGTATAAAATGAGGACAGGCAGAAAACCTGATGGCTGTGCCATTTGCTTCAAAACTTCCAAATTCAGCCTGATTTCCTCAAACCCAGTGGAATTTTTTCGCCATGATATCCCACTCTTGGACAGGGACAACGTTGGGCTGGTGTTGCTGCTGCAGCCCAGATTTCACTGCAAAGCCAGTGCTGCCATCTGTATTGCCAATACACACCTGCTGTACAACCCAAGGAGAGGGGACATCAAACTGACCCAGCTTGCAATGCTCCTGGCAGAGATTGCCAGTGTTGCCCCTCAGAAGGATGGCTCTTTCTGCCCAATTATCATCTGTGGGGACTTCAATTCTGTTCCTGGCTCTCCATTGTACAGATTTATAAAGGAAGGAAAGTTAAATTATGAAGGACTTGCTATAGGGAAGGTAGGCTGTGCTTCTCATTTCTCACCAAAAAAATGGTTAATGCTGATTAAAGAGAAGTATTTGGGTGGTGCTGTGATTGTTTCCATTGCAGTGCCTCTGTTAGTGCCCTGTCAGCAGCCTGCAGAGCAAAAGTTATTGCAGTTAAATAAGCTTGGATATATTAGCTGTGCCTTAGGGAATATTGTGTCCTCTCCCAGCATTGTGAAAGAAAAAACATACCAACAATCATTCCTGAAATTTAGTTAATCCACAGAACAATTGGATCACTGTGTTTGGATGATTTTATCACTGTGTTTAAGTGTCCCAGTATTTAAGTAGGATAAAATAACCACTTAATCAAAAACCTCCTGTGTGCTCTGTGGGAAGATAACTCTTACTGTAGATAAACTTGGTGGCTGCAGTAATTGTAAAAGCAAAGCTGCAATTAGATGCTGAATCTCAGTTGTTTCATGATAAAAAATGTCTTGTTGTGAGCTCTTGTATGCAGCTGTTGGATGTGTCACATGCTATGTATTAGGAGTGACTGAACTACATAAAATGAGGAAACATGACCAAAGAAATAGCCCTGCTGGGTGTTGTTTGCTAGTGGGACTTGATTCAAGCCCCCCTTTGACTTGACCTGCTCCCAGAAGGATCAGCATCCTGCAGCTGATCTGGGTAGGTCTGTGTGCTGAGCCAGGGCTGTCACACTGCTAAAAGTGTTCTTGGAAGTGTCTCAGTGTCACAAGAACCATCTAGAAAAAATGGGTACCTTTTTTCTAGATAGAACTTGCCACAGATAAACAGAGTGGATGTACATAAAGGCTGTTATTTTTACAGGGATTTGGCTCTATAATTATTCCAAGGGGCTGGGCCTTTTTCTTTAAACTTTACAAAAAATGTTCACTTATTTCAGGTTTGTTTGGTGGGGTTTTTTTTTTCTTGTTTTTTTTTAAATCAGATTTTTTTTTGAAAAAAAAAACTTGTTGTCTTTCTCAGGTCTCTGGACAAGAACAGTTTCCAAGGGGACAAAGAATCTTATCTATTCCAATTTGGCCCCAAAAATTAGGTATTTCACAAAACTGTGTATATGAAGTAAAACAGCAACAAAAGGAAGAAAATGCAGGTCAGTTTTTGAATTCATGAATTTTTGTGAGCCTTTGAAAGTGTCATTCAGCAAGTACTGAAAATCATACACTCTGTTTTAGTGGGGGAAAAACAGTGGGCTCATTAGAGTGTAAAGTGATTTATTGATAAACTTTGATAAACTTTGCAAATTTGAACTTTATAAGAGAATAGTTTGAAATTTCCCTTCGGGAATTGGTGTGTAATGTTAAAACTCCTGTGTCTGCATCCTGAAAGCCAGCTGTGCTGTGACTGGGTGAGGGAGGAAGGAATGCAGCACATGGACATAGTGTGGACCTGCATTGTGCCTCAGTGTTTATGAATTATAGTGTTGGCACTTCCTGGAACAGCTGGGAAGAGCAAGTGATGTAGCAAGAGTATGGCTACATCTTTCATCCACTATTTTTTCCTTTGACAGAAAAAACAATTTTAAATTAATGGAACATAATATAAATGAGTCTTTAGAGGGGATGTTAATAATGGAACAGAAGAATTTAATTCTGCTAGGTGAATTGTATCTTGCCTGCTGTAAAAAAAATAACTGTACTTAAAGATATTTTTTTTTTACTGTACCTTTTCTGTAGCTTTTCTGTAGCTCTTCAGCATTGGTCTCACTTATATCCCATTTTAAATATAAATTGAATTTATTTTTATTTTGCAGGAGAAAAATTGGAAACAGAAAAACCAGACAACACTCAGGAGATTGTAATAGCATCTAAAAAGTATGTATTGGGGAAAAAATGGAAGCCCTTGGCTGATTACTTGGGGGTTGGTTTTGGTTTTAGACCAAACTTATATCTGATTCCAGCTGTGGGTACCTCATGATCACCCAGTCTGCCCTTTTGGCAAAAACAGTACATTTAAACATGAAAAGGCTGATCAGACAGCAAAAGACTAGAACTGGCAATAATGGAATGTGTGTTCTTCCAGGAACTTGCAGATATTTTTTCAGAATGCAGGGCTGAGGTGTCAGTGCTGTCTAGAGGGTACTTTCTGTCTGCTCATTAAAAGAATGCTTCTGGCATTTTTTATCACTTCTTGACATAAACAGAACATCATCCTCTGTAGGGACATTGCAAGAAACATATGAGCTGTTGCAGAAGCCATGTTTTTGAAAGAGGGAGAGGAAAAAAATAAGCCAGTGTTGCCCAGCTGCTGAAGTATTGGCACTTCACTCTCTTTTTATTGTTTTTGATACACTGGTTTATGGATGTATAAAATCTTATAATACAGTGTGTAACTGGGATGAAGGAGGGAAAGGAACTGAAAAGGTCATAAAATCTTCTTTGTCATGAGTTCTGCAGGAGTGTTTAACTTCTTTGAGTCTGAGAAATGTGGAGTATTATGGATTTGGTAATGCAACTTTCACTCAGAAGGAGGAAGCCATGGCTAGAATGCTGAGGAGGAAAATGTAACTGCTTTTTGAAAGTAAGAATTTATTTGCATTACCAAACTGGTAAAGGCATATAAAGTAAGGCATAGAAGAAGGAAATTGCCCTAAGTGTATGTATGGGATGGTAGGCTCCAAGTCAGCTATTTCTTTCCAGAAATGAGATCTTGGCTTCATTGCAGATAGTCACAGTAGAACTCTTGGTGATTCTTGGTGATGAAAAAGGTGTCATGACATTTCTGAGAGAAGTAGATAACAAACAGGAGGCCCTATGCTATGGTTTAAATCCATAGCATGCTGAAATCTTCTTGCAGGGCTTTTTCCCTCATCTTAAAAGGGATGTCAGGTAACAACACCAGAAATTATTACTTGCCTGTATTGTACCAACTGGCATGTTTGTTTCTGTTCTGAATCAGGCAAGGTAACGTGCTGATTTTTTTTTTCTTTTTTTTTATTGCTTGTGTTTCAACCAGAACACATTGCAGCCTTGGTTTAAAATGCAGGATGAGGCAGGTACAGGAGGTACAGCTGAGGGATGGATGATTTGTAGAGATGATGGAAGCAAAACTCCTGAGAGACAGGAGTTCTTTTGCTAAAAGGTGCAGTTTTGCATTTTGCTTTCAAGATTGAAAAGACAGGTGAGACAAGATGGGCTGAACTGAAGAGGAACAGACAAGTGATGGGGAGACACAAAATGGGAGCTTGAGTGGAAGAAAAATATAAGCATATCCTAACTTGGAACTTGATACCTCTAGCTTGGGGGAGGATAAAACCTCTAAAAATCTGAATTCCTCTTTATGCTGAAGGGTCTGGTTAGATGAGTTTGTGTTTTGTTGCTTTCATATGAGCTGCTTTCATGGACATTTCTGCCTGCGTGTCAGGGAGAGATTGCTGAATGAGGACATGTGAATGCTTACAGAATGTATATGGATTTCAAAGCTATCTATTAAGTGTCAGCTAAACCAGTTCTGATCAGCATTTTATTTGAAAATGCTGCCTGCATTTTGCCTTCAGAGTTTTAGACCTCTCCCACAAAAGACTACAGGATGGCTTGCAGGAGAGAAACACTAGTTTGCAAGTCCAGATAATTCATTTTGTTCATAACCAGGAACTTTTTGGTATTTCTTCATTGCTTATTCCTTCTTGGTAATGGAAGAAAATAAAATTCTTTTCTTTGATGTCTCTTTAGGTCGTCTTCAAAATTGCGGCACCATTTTAAATTGTCTTCGGTGTATTCTCATTACTTCCCTGAAACTGGGATTCCAGAAGTGACAACTTGTCATTCCCGAAGTGCTGTCACCGTGGATTATATCTTCTATTCTGCAGCAAAAGATGATACTGCTGACCAGCCAGGTAAAGACACCAACTTTTCATTGTCATAAATGCTAAACAAGAATATTTGTTTGCTGTAGTGATGATTTCATCTATGTGAAGTTCCTCAGAGGTTTGTGGTAGGGCTTTGAATATCAGCTGTTACCTGAGAAACATGGTAAGCTCACTACAGCTGGACCTGTAGTGCCACACAGGGCCACCCTTTTCATCTGAGTGAACATTTCTGTGGTTCCTGTCTCAGCATGGGATAAGCTGGAGGTACAGGAAAGCAGCAGTGGAAGTACTGCTGTCAGTAATGCAGGCCAGACCTACAGCAAGGCAGTGTTCCCAATCATCTGATCAACACAGTGAACAGTAATTTGTGATGTGCATTAAAACTGATAAACGAACATTTCCTGGCAATTTACTTCTCAGCTTGTCTTGCAGTAATTTGTGCCAAGTAACAGACTCTTGGTCTTTGCTGTGAGCACGGTCACTGGCTCGGGCCCAGCTGTCACTCTCCGGTTTGCAGTTGCAGCTAAAAGTCACCAGATGGTGCAAGAAAGTCGCGGTACCTCTGTGGGAATTTAGTGATGGGTATCACAGTGTTTCTCCATGCTTTACTGCCCTGGGACTCGTTCTGTGGGTGCTTCTGAGCAGTTTTCTTTCCATGCTCCCATGAGTTCTGTGTGTCATGCCATCAACAAACATCAGTGCAGTGCTAGCACATTCATGACTCTGCATTGGAGCAAAGAAACCTGGATTCCATTGCTGTAGAGTACAGTGCCACTGATTTTTATAAATTAACATTGCTTTCAGTATGTGGAATGAAAACACCACCTTCATCTCTTGTAACTTGAGACTAAATTGTTAAAATTCATTGAGTTGATTCACGGAAGTCTCACTTGTCATAATGTGCACAGTAAATGCTACCTTAATATAAAATGGCAAATACAAAAGCTTTGACTGAAAAATCACAATATGGGAAGTATTTAGATTACTTCTGAATGCCATGTAATTTAATGGAGTGCTGTGTGATTGCAGAATGCATCTCTGCACAGAATATAATCCTGATTCACCTGTTTATATATTTTTTGCACCATCATTACATACTTTTTGCATCATTAGCACCATCATTGCTCCGGCAGAGATACAGCACTTTTTTCTTTTTGCAGTTGTTTTTTAAATAGATTGTTCTCACATCAGGGCACAGAATGGAACCAAACTTGAATTTTTCCAACTACTTTAAACTAGTATAGTTTTTATTCATGAGCTCTTAGAAATTAAGCCATGGTTTAGATTTTCAGTTTTCTAATGATCTGGGCCTCTGTATTTAAAGCTGACAAAGTCTGTACAAGAATTTTAAATGTGGTCTAGCCTCACAGATTGGGTTTTTCCTTTTAAAGGGTTTTATTTTAAAATATTCATGCTTTATTCTGTCATGTTTATCCAAATATTTGGTATAAAAAAATCCATCTGCCAGGATTTCCTGTAATAAGGGTTCAGTATCTACCTGAGTCCTGCAGGGCTGAGTTTTGCTGAGTGTTCTGAGTGACATTAACCACTGCATGCAGACCAAGCTCTCTGTGGCAACAAACTGCTCCTTTGTAGATTTGCAAGTGCTGATAAATGATAAATTTGTCTCAAGACCTGTGGACATGTGCTCTAGAGCTGCCAAGAGATCTTTGCAGTGAAAAAGCTTTTCTTTAAAGCAGCAAACAGCTGCTGGGTTGTTGAAGGGCTGGAAAGCTGGCAGATGGCAAAGGATGAAGCTGTTGAACTCTCTGAGGAGTTCAGCAGTTGCTGGATAGTTCTTTAAAGTATCACCAGTACCAGGGTCAGCCAGGAAGCTCTGAATTTGCTGAGAACTTTCACACAGAAAGTATTTCTGTCAAAAGTTACAGCTGCAGTTTGTACTGGTCCTGAAAGCACTCAACTCGCCCAGGATCACCTCTGCACTCTGAAAGCAAGAGGTAGGGTTGCTGAGTAGTTGTCCAACTTGAAAACATAGCTCAGGAAATCTAAATTTTACACATCATGGAAGGATTTCAGTGAAATTTCTCCACCTGAGCTGAAAAAGCTGATTGCTCTTTGATGATGGGCAAATCATGACTGACAAATCCAGTGGCTTTGAGTGGCAGAGTTAATTGTGGAAATGGTAGGACAACTGAACATCTCCCAGGCCTTGTGCAAGGCAGCTGACATGGTCCTGCCCAGCAGCTGAAGAGATGGATTTGGTGGCTGCACCACTCCATGAATTGGCTGTAAACAAACAGCTGCCATCAATGCCCCAGTGTCCAGGTGGAGACAAGTGGCATTCCTCAGGGATTGGTTCCTCATTCTTAAGGGATCAGTACTGGGACCAATGCTGCCCCATCCCTGGAAGTGTCCATGGTCAGGCTGGATGGAGCTCTAAGCAATCTGCTCTAGTGGAAAGTGTCCCTTGCCCGTGGGTTGGAACTTGATGGTCCCTAAGATCCCTTCCAAGCCAAACCATTCTATGTAAGTGTGTAGTGATTGCAAGGCTTGAGTCGTGTTCCCTCTGGCATGAGCAGTGTGGTGTTCCATCTAGGGAAGGAGGTGGGAGTGGGCTCCTTAGGTAGTTGCAGGAATAGATAGCAGGAGATAATGGAGATCCCTTCTTATGATGAAAGGGAATAGAAAGCTAGAATACCTTCATCCTTAGGAGCAAAAGTGTCTGTATGACCTGCCTGCTGGGGAACTGTGTGCCTTAGGATACAGAAATAAAATGTTACGTGAACCAGTAACTCTAAAAAGATATTTACCTTCACAAGTGTCAGCTCTGCTGTTGTCTAAAGTAATGGACTGGATTATATGAGGCTTTTTCAGGGGAATTACACTGAACAAATAAATGCATTTTCCTTTTTATTTTTATTTACCCTTCCACAAAATACTGTCCTTAGCTCTACTGCTGAAACTCTACTTTGAGAATCATAAAAGAATTTCTGAACAGTCATATTGGTGATTTTGCATGGAACAGTACCAACTGTGCATTATTGCTGCCATACTGCATTCCTCCTTCATCTGTATGAACATGTGATACTTAGCCCACACTGATTAACACTGCCTGTTGGTTTGTTTATTCTAACAGGAGCAGAGGATTCTTCTTGTGGAGGTCTGAAACTTCTTGGCAGGCTGGCACTTGTAACAGAGAAAGATCTTTGGACTGTTAATGGTCTTCCCAATGAAAATAACTCTTCTGACCACCTGCCACTGCTAGCAAAGTTCAGGCTTATTGAACGGTAATATCCAAAGGACTTCTCTCTCATGGGATGATTATTATTATTTTTTTAAAATTCAAGCACTGCTGGTCCAGTTTAAATAAGTTTGCCTGCATGCTGATTTATTAGTGTTGTGTGAAGTAGACTTTCTAAAGGGACCTTTTTTTAAAAAAAGATGGTTAATTTACTTTACCAAATCTTTTAGGGAGAAAAAGGATTTTACATTAGCTTCCTCTTTGATAAAGGAAAACATCTGTGCCAGACTCCAAATGGCATTATTTTTCATGAATATGTTGTAAATGATTTTTATTGTAAATCACAGTAAAAAGGACTATTCTGAGAACTGTGTGTTTCTTCATGCAGAGGTGAACATGTCTTTGTGCCTGCAGCATTTTAAAATGAGTTCAAAATAATGTTTTACTGTAAAGGTGCTTTGTGGTCACTTCCATCTTAACACTTCTGCAAATGAATTTACTCAGTGTTGTCAGTGCAGAGGCTGCAAGATTGAACTTTCAACGGAAGAAAGGCAAATACTTATGCTTTAAGAATTTGCTGCTTAAAATTCTAAGGGCATAAATATAGGTAGCATTCACTGAAATATTTTTTAAAATATCTGAAATAAAGCTAAGCTTAATGAGCACACCACATCACAGGAAACTTAACTGATCTATATAGGAGCAAAAAAATTAGCCCTTGACATCTTAAGGTTTCATACATATTGAAGAACTGGTGACAGGGTGGGGTTTTTTCCATTTAGTTATTAAACAGGTCTGGTTGTATCTTGAAATGACAGATCCTGAGGTTATTAAATTATCATGGTTTTATATTTACTCTCACAATGCACTCATAAACATTCTCTATAAAATACAATTTACAAAGTAATTAAAAAACAACCAGACTGCCTGAATAGGAAATGTAGAGGGGCTGGAAACAAATCTTGGAACTTGGTCAAACTACACATAGATGAGTATGTAGAATCAACTTTGAAGTAAGAATTGTCTTTCAGTGTAGTGCTGGAAAACCTGCACCCATTCAGACACGTTTGTCTCCCAGAAGCACTTGTGGAACTTTCATCTGTGTTGCCTTTCCCTGACTGCAGACAACTGCAATTAAAGCTCCTCAGTCCATTCCAAAATATAAGCACCTGCCAAAACATTCAGCCTACATTGCTGAGAATTTGGAGGGGGCTACTTTTGTCATAGTCATAGGTAGTTGTAGCTGAAGAGCTTTCTTCTGCCTGTTAACAGTGAGATTGATGCTGAGCATGACAACCTGTTTGATCCTGGATACTGTCTGGTTTCAGGCATCTGAGTAACCTCACAGATGCCAGCATACTTAGATAGAGGCAACAAATTTCTGGGTACACCCACATTACAGGTAAAAACATTGTTCAATTGTAGCAAACCTTGCTAAGAGCAAAAACAAAAAAGAAACCACACATAAGTCATAGAAAAAGACTACCGTGATACTTTTATTGAAGTTTCATGCTGTGAATATACAAGAGATGAGAAAAAGCCCAAAAAGTCATGCATGTTTTTCTATACTATTTGACCACTTTGCTGTCACTTGAACCACACTTAAGACAAATGCCATCATAAGCAAGTTTCAAGAGAATATTTCAGCAGAACTTTAAACAAGGACCAAGAGCACTTTGTCAACACACCTCTACAGCATTAAAAAGCTTCAGTATCAGTTAAGAGAAAATAAAGTTTGCTGGACAAGGGTAGAAACTATATTACAATCATTATTTGAGTTGAAGTAAACCATGGTTTCATAGAAAAAAGTTGCAACATATCAGGTAACATTGTGCTACAGGATACAGCTGATCAAGTTTTTCGACATCATTTTATCCATGAGAAGTCATTAAAAAAATTATTTAGGTCACAAGACACTGGGCAGCACAAAGTTTGAAACCAAAACTCTGCAGCTGATGTCAAATTACACAAGAATTTCTACCAAGAGTATTTCCCTCTCTTCAGCTTCACTCCTTAAGCAAAAAAATCCTTGCTGTGAACACAGGAGTGGAAAAGTTTAAAGAAAGAGGGATGGGAAAGGCCTTCCTGATATTGATATGGTAAACTTGGATAAAGAGGTGTCACACTTTTGAAAAGTTCTTTCTCTAGAGCTTTTGAACTCTTAATCAGTAGAAAGCCTTTCATTGGCTGTAGAAGGTTGCTGGGTCTTGGCTTTTTCTTCCTGTCCTAGGCAGGTGAAATTCAGTTTTTTGAGCAATGAGGTCTGTGAACAAGCAATTCTTTCCTTTTATATTCCTTCATTTTCTGGCTGATGGAAGTGTCCTAGGAGCTTACATCATTCCATTTGAATAAGCATTACTGTCAGTCTGTAACAGCATCCATCTTCATCGAGATCCCAAAAAAGTAAGTGCCCAGGAGGGGAGGTACACCAGGCCCATGGCAGCATCATCTATGAGCACAGCACAAAGGGTAGAGGCTGGACATGTACAATAATCCAGTTTAGGCACCTAATGAAACAATTCCAGGAATGCAGCACTCAAATGCTTCCAGAGAACTTCACCAAGTCGAATGGTGGACCCAGCGAGTCTTACCGCATCACTTGAGAACACTGCTGTCCATCACAGGTCTTTAGCCAAGGCTTACAACAATACAACTGAGCAGGGAGGAAGCAGACAAGCTTGATTTTCATTTATTTCAGTCATACTTCCTTATTCAAGTCTGACTAAACAGTTGTAACTACAACATGTGCAGGAAAACTCCCTGCACAGCACGGCGGGTTTAATACAAGGTGTCAAGACATCACCATCAGAGACTGCCCAGCCTTTCAAAGACAAGGTTCAAATTTGCACATAAATATGTGGAGAGAAAAGCACATAGACTCAAGTCAGCAATTCCCACAGTTTTTCCATTATTCCAGGTACTACATGTATGAGAGAAAAGCTGACTTGTCTCTACAAAACAGCAATCTCTATGTTTTGTGCTTCAGCGGTGTAGTTCAGAAAGACTAAAAGCTTGTGACAAAAGTATAAAAAAAAATATGAAAGTTTAAAAATTCATTATTCATCAATTATCATCATTTAAAAAACCTCAACCCTTGTATCTTGCCTAACAAGATGTCAGTGTTAAGAATACATTGCATATTACTATTACTTAACATCTTTCGGCAACATGCAGAAAATAATAACAGAGGTGGCAGTAAAACATCCAGTGCTGTTTTAATACTCCCAGTAATGCTGGGAAACAGTACAAATCGGTTAGAAAACAATAATACTGACAGTTTTGCATATCTATTAAGTCTAGTGAGGTAATACTGATACTTTAAAAACTTTGCCACTTCTTCACTGCTTGCTTTTATTGCTGAATTAAAGATTAATAGTGAATATGATTTTTTTTAATTGCACTGCACCCCAGCACATCTTAATACTAAGAATATGATTTGTTAGTTACTCCAATGCAACCACCCAGCACAAGGCCAAGTTCAATTAACACTTGTACAGGGAAATTACATTTGAAGAAACTCACACCACTGAAGTCACCTGCTACATGATGGGAGAGAAAAAAAATCTCATATCCTGGCAAATCTAATTTTAGGTTCTCTTCACTGATGCCTTTTCTGTAATTGAAATAAATACTGCCACCAAAAACAATTACCCCCTATTATCTAGGTCAAACTTTTATTGTGAGAGTACATAAATTAAAAAGCAGTCCCATTCCTTTTTCCTTCCAAGGGGGTGCAGGTAAAGTGCAGCGGCAGCAGCGGGAAGCACTTCGGAGCCCGTGGCATTGGTCAGATGCGGAGCTGGTAGCCAACCTCGTTGAGTGCAGCCAGGTCTCCCTTCTTGTCCAGCACCGCCGGCCTGCGCACAGGAGAGGGAAGAGGGCGCTGCTCACCAGCGATCCCGCTCAGCCGTGCAGCTGGGGGGGAGCTCAGCAGCCACAGGGACGGTGGATAGAGCCAATGTTGTCATCTTAAACACAATCCTGGTAAATCTGCTGCAGGAGTTACTGTGATAGAGCTATCTGTGTGTTGCCTCTGACAAGCTGGGATTTAGGATGCGAACCTGAAGCACCCCCTCCTGGACTTCAGAGAGCCCTAAATGAGTAGCTAAGACTAGACACACCCCACCTGTCATCCACCCCGGAGCAGGACTCCAGCTTTTAGAACAAAGCCAAAAGAGCTGAGAGCAAACAGGCCGGGTCTCTCACACGGCCGCTGCGTGTTGGCTCAACCCCAGCCTGCCCCTCCTCCTGGCTGGGTCTGTGTGAAGGGCTGGAGCTCACCAAACAGAAAACACAGGGTGGACTCCCCTCAGCCTCCTGGCATCCAGCACTCTGATACCACTCACCTGAGCAATCACACACACATGGATGCTTTTAGGCCATTTAAGTATTCCAACAGCCTGAACCAAAGGAAACCTTGAGCTATCAGTCTCTCTCTTTTTAGCAAGCAATGGAAAAGCTCCTGCAACAAAGTTGTCAAAGCAAAACTATCCAGCTGATCTATAGTCTGGAAGTGTCTAATCTGAGAATCTATTGCAGGCTCTTGGCTGCTTTCACACTAAGCCATGTGTTTGCTTTTCTGAAGACAGACATTGTTTAAAGCACACATTTCTCTAGTACTCCATAGCATGTCTGCTTCCCTGCAGAAACACAGCTAAAGACCCAGCAGTACAATGGGAGGCTGCTCCAGTGTTTTCAGCTCCTCAGCCCTGCTTTCCAGCTCTCTGTGCTTATTACTCTTTGCTCCCTCTGCAGCAGATGTGACCCCTGAGTTTGCTCAGCCAGGCTGGCCCTTATCTCCCTGCTGCAGGCTGCCAGCCCATTCCCACTGGAGCAGCTCAGGGCAGGCAGCAGTGCCACAGGCAGGCTGGAAACCAGGGAAAGCCCAGCCCTGCCTGTGGCACACTGCTGGGCACACACAGGGAAGAGCTGTACTGCTGCAGCCCCAAGAACTGAGAGTGTATAGCACACACATGCATGTGTGCAACAGAGCCTCTGAAATAGTTTTTAATTGCTCAATTCAACAAGGATTTTTTTTTCTTTTTAAGAGTTAACACCAGATGCCTGCTGATAATCTGCACAGCATTTGAGGCATCTAATGCCCTTCTGCCTAGTGGCACATTGAATGAAACCTGCTGCTTTGCCATTTATCTAAGCACCACTCATAATAACCTCACCATCCTCACTGCAGTACTGCCCTGCACCATGCCTTGTGTTTGTCTCAATTTAAGTCATTCACAAAAGAGAAGTCTTCACTGGTCTCTCTCATTTGCAGGAAGGGATCACACTCACAACAAATCACTGTAAGATAGTTTGCATTTTTCCTCATTATTCCTTCAGAGCAGATGGGATTTGATTAACCAGTAAACAAGCTACAAGCTGCATCCCTCAGAGCTTGTGTAGGAGTCAGAGACCAGCAAGAGATGCACTGTATGAGACTTCCAGTGTCCTTCCTTTCCCCTTCGTTCCAATTTAGGGACTCTCTTCACACCTTTTTCTCCCTCCCTTTAATTAGGG